GTTACAATGTCTGGCTCAGCACACTGGTTGAAATGTCTGGCTCAGCACACTGGTTGCAATGTCTGGCTCAGCACACTGGTTACAATGTCTGGCTCAGCACACTGGTTGCAATGCCTGGCTCAGCACACTGGTTGCAATGCCTGGCTCAGCACACTGGTTACAATGTCTGGCCAGCACACTGGTTGCAATGTCTGGCTCAGCACACTGGTTACAATGTCTGGCTCAGCACACTGGTTACAATGCCTGGCTCAGCACACTGGTTGCAATGTCTGGCTCAGCACACTGGTTGCAATGTCTGGCTCAGCACACTGGTTGCAATGCCTGGCTCAGCACACTGGTTGCAATGTCTGGCTCAGCACACTGGTTGCAATGTCTGGCTCAGCACACTGGTTGAAATGCCTGGCTCAGCACACTGGTTGCAATGCCTGGCTCAGCACACTGGTTACAATGCCTGGCTCAGCACACTGGTTGCAATGCCTGGCTCGGCACACTGGTTGCAATGCCTGGCTCGGCACACTGGTTACAATGCCTGGCTCAGCACACTGGTTACAATGTCTGGCTCAGCACACTGGTTACAATGCCTGGCTCAGCACACTGGTTACAATGCCTGGCTCAGCACACTGGTTGCAATGTCTGGCTCAGCACACTGGTTGTAATGTCTGGCTCAGCACACTGGTTGCAATGTCTGGCTCAGCACACTGGTTGCAATGTCTGGCTCAGCACACTGGTTACAATGTCTGGCTCAGCACACTGGTTGAAATGCCTGGCTCAGCACACTGGTTACAATGCCTGGCTCAGCACACTGGTTACAATGTCTGGCTCAGCACACTGGTTGAAATGCCTGGCTCAGCACACTGGTTACAATGCCTGGCTCAGCACACTGGTTACAATGCCTGGCTTGGCACACTGGTTGCAATGTATGGCTCAGCACACTGGTTGCAATATCTGGCTCAGCGCACTGATTGCAATGCCTGGCTCGGCACACTGGTTGCAATGCCTGGCTCAACACACTGGTTGCAATGCCTGGCTAAGCACACTGGTTGCAATACCTGGCTCAAGCACACTGGTTGCAATGCCTGGCTCAGCACACTGGTTGCAATGCCTGGCTCGGCAAACTGGTTACAATGTCCTGGTTCAGGCACACTGATTGCAATGCCTAGGCTTCAGCACACTGGTTGCAATGCTGCTCAGCACACTAGTTGCAATGCCTGGCTCAGCACACTGGTTGCAATGCCTGGCTCGGCACACTGGTTGCAATGTCTGACTCGGCACACTGGTTGCAATGGCTGGCTCAACACACTGGTTTCTATGCCTGGCTCAGCACACTGATTGTAATGCCTGGCCTGGCTCCACAAAATGTCAGTTATTTTCAAGAGCATACACAAGAAAACCCAGTCCCAAAAATAAAATTTGGCTCCAAAGTTTTTTTAGATAGTAAAACCATTACAGCAAATTTTTACCTTTCAAAATCCATGTGATAGTAGCTGCGAGTGGAGTAGCACTCTCATCACCAACACCAATCCCCTTCAACATCGCCTGTGTAGCTAAGGTACCAGTAAGATAGGAACAGAATGCCTAAAAATATACACACACAGAAAGATATGGAATGCCAGACATATATAGAGTCTGTAGTCAAATCAGAAAAACCTAGTACTACAGCGAACAGCAGAAAGCAGTACCTTAGTGTATATAAGCATGTAACACAGAACCTAGACTGGCGCAGTAGGGGCGATTAATTTGATTATGTAGTTGAAATAAAATAAAAAAATTTGTGAAATGGAGGTGCTAGCGCGAAATCACCCCAACAGGTTTATTCTGCATGGCCCTCTATCGACACTGCAGGAACCCGTTGAATTTTTCAACAGGTAATTATGTTAATGAGTGTTCTAATTGACAATCATCTAAGCCAATCACAACATCTCTTCAACTGACCTCTGACCGAGAAGACTTCGGCTGATTGTAGCAGCCGATTTTTTTTTTAATTCTAAGACTAGTACGAGTTACTTTTTTACACATTGTGATGATTTAGAAACGACGACTACAACAAACTTGAATTTCAACGTTCCTCCATGTTGAGTCTGCAGTGTACCTTTACCATGTTGACCTCATTATGCACGTATTTCCGCGCCCACCTCATTATAATATGTGATTCATGAATATTAATAGCAATGAATTTCCTGCAGAATAAACCAGTCGGGGTGATTTCGCGCTAACACCTCTATTTCGCGATTTGTTTTATTTTTTTTAAACTACAAAAACAAATTAATGGCCCGACTGCGCCAGTCTACACAAAACCCTGCTTTCATCCAAATTCAAATATTTAATAGTGATTGGCTTAAGGTAAAGATGCATTTTACCTGACAGGTATTTTAATTAGTTAATTAGGAAACCAAGATGACCTCCCTTGTCCACAAAACTATATATTTTCGAAAAGCTATTGTATGAATTTTTTATGGACACTGTAGTTTGAAATATGCACAAAAAATGTGCTTTTTTGGTCAAAAGTGATTTAAAAAAAAATAGCTTCTGAACTTAATTAGGTCACATGAATCTATTTATACAAAGTTGGTAGTAAATTTCAACTCTGAAGTAATCAGATCTGTGGATTATATAAAAGCACCCATGTACCAATTATCATTGAAATTTGATGAGTGGTATTCAAGATATCTGTAGAACACATATAAATTGGTTAATTTATGCAAATTTGGTTATTGGTAAGCGCAAAGTTTAACCCTTAACTAAACATGTGTATGATTTATTCCAGAACACCTATGTACTAAGTTTCATTAAATCAGTAGTTGAGATATTGGTACAAAACCTAAAAATTGGATAATTAATATGCAAAATAAGGTAATTAATAGGCACAAATTGCAAACAGAAACTACGGTAATCAGATCGGTGCATTGTCCCAGATTATCTATGAATAAGTTTCAGTGAAATCTGTCAGGTAGTTCTAAAGACTAAAAATTGGTTAATTACTATGCAAATTAGATCAATAATATGCACAGCTTTCAAATGAAAATTAATCAGGTCTGTGCTTTATCCCAGATCATTTATATATATCGTCGAAAGTTATACTACATGATACAATTCACAACATATGACAGCTCATACAGAATTGTTATGAATATTGCAATAACAAGTGTTATAGCAAACTGTGGTAGTGGTTTATTTCTATTACGGTAAATATTATAGCACTGAGCCTGGAAAATACTGACCTGCATTGTATCCCATATCTGATATGTTAAGTAGTCTCCGCTCACACTCTCAGGGTAACCCTGTGGTAAGAAAAGAGACTGCAAAAAATGGAGGGGAATATGTTAGATTATTATAGCAAACAATGAATTTAGTGCTATTTACATGTAAACTGAACATATAATCTACCACTATATCTGTCTTGACTCATTGAGGACACGCCTTACAAAATAGAAAATGTCAAATTTGCCAGAATGGAGAGATTGAGGATGAAAAACATTTCCTCCTAACATGTTTACACTATGATGTATTAAGACAAGACAGCCTAAACAAATGTTTTGCAACACCGACCAATCAAAACAAAGAAGAAAAACTAGTAAATATACTTAAAACGAAAGACAAAAACATGTTAATTAATTTAGACAAATTTGTATACGAAGGGTTCTTAATGAGAGAAAACTACATTAAATCTAAATTACCAGCTGCCTCATAAAAAATAATGTCTTTGCTTTGCTTTGTTGTTGTTTTTTCTCTAATTTTTTAAATTTTTTTTTATTTTTCTACTTTCAACTTTTAACTTTATTGTATCACTAACAATATCTCAATTAAGAATACGTTTATCAATAAAGATTATTATTATTATTACAACACAAAGACAGTATGGCAATAGTATAATAAATCTCTGTTTATGTGATCTGTACTAACAGAGTACATACTCTAAGAATTCTAATCATGATAACATTACATACATCTCTTTCATTTTTGTTAGTTTAGATAACAGCTCTACATCCCAGTGAAAAACAATTTTATGAAAGTCATGTCTGCATAGACATTTGTGATTACTTCAGTGATGTGATTAACAGTAAAGTCTAGTGTTCTTGGTGCTAGATACATTTTGTGATTACTTCAGTGATGTGATTAACAGTAAAGTCTAGTGTTTGTGGTGCTAGATACATTTTGTGATTACTTCAGTGATGTGATTAACAGTAAAGTCTAGTGTTCTTGGTGCTAGATACATTTTGTGATTTATTTTAATTGAAAACATGCCTCCAGGGTTCTCACCAATGCAAAATATTTTTAGATAAACAATAAAGCTCATAATAATTAATACAATAAAGGTGATTAACATTTGTTATGTAAATTATAACACTGGCATTTGTCACACACTACTAATACAGGTATTTCCATGCAATAAATTGATTTAACCTTTGAAATTGTGTACAGTAAAAATATTTTAGAAAAAACAAAAACAAAACAGAAACTTTTTTTGTGAAGTTTAACTTAATGCATCATAGTCTACATTTTTTTAATATATTTCAGGGCACACTGATTGTAACACTAACAATATTCATTTAACAAGCAGCCTGTCGGCTGAGGTAGCTCTGCTGTTAGCAATGCACATTTCAATTAAAGAACTGAAGATATCATTAGAAAATGAATAATATGTATACATGTACTATCAAAGCAATCTGAAATTCGAAAATAACTTTTTATCAAAAATATTCATTTCATCAAAATTTTAGATAATTGAAGATATCATCATGAAATGAACAAATCTGAGAGAGATGTACTAGTACCTATATTTATAATATCAAAGCAATCAGACTTGCGGTTTTCGACAAGAAGTCGAAAATATAACTTTTTACCAAAAATGACAAAAATATTCATCAACATTAGAGAATTAAAGGAAACATCATGAAATGAACAAATCTAAGAGAGGTCTACCCAAGGTACATATACACCAAGTATCAAAGCATTCAGGCTTGTAGTTTTCAAGAAGATGCAAAGTAAAACATTGACACGAACGCCGACGAACAATCACTCATACGATAAGCTTCACTCAACAAAGTCAACAGCGGAGCTAAAAATTACTTTGGAAATCAAATGTTGGATAAAATGTTGACATTCATTTTTTAAAAATAATTTATAAAAATTGATGAAATAGAATGACTTTGTTGTGTTGAAAGTGACATGAGATAAAGTTCTTATTTTGCACTATTTCTGTGCATATGTCAATTAAATGTATTCCTGACCAATGACATCACATGACTACATATTGTGATATGCTTTAATTTTGCAGGAGACCAGTTTTTTGGAGTCAGTGTAAATCATTATTCTTTGTAGCAGTGAAAGCGTAATCATGCGTATGACATGGAACGTATGCCAGTGAATGTCGGTTTTCAAGAATGCAATCGTTAAACTTTAAGTGCAAAAATTGTTAGCAATGAAAATTAAGCCGTTTACAAATAGGCAAATGACAAGTGTTTGCGAAAATTACCACAGAAAAACAGCTGCTATAAATACTCAATGCACCAGAAGGATGAAACACGATCGTTACACAATCAAACGCATCGATCTATGTTGACAAGCAAGGCTATAAGTAGTTTGTTTTTTCTTAATCATTGATGAAAAAACAGTGATACTACTAGTAATTAAATGTAACGTTTGATAGCAACCATATTGCTGTATTGTACTACATTTAATGTGGTGCAAATATATTTAATCCTTGATTTGTTTTTGTAAGTTACCAATTTATTCAAGGTAGAGATGCAGATTTGTGGCACTTGGGAATGACTGTCTTGGCTATAGACTGTTGAAATTTGGTAGAATTGTGAATAGTGGAACATACTCGAAAAATGATTTTAAAATATAGATAACAGGTGCAAACATTCTCTTTTGAATGCTTAGCAAGATTTAGCAAGGCTGTACATAAATAATAAAAAAGAAACATGGTGAAAAAAAGAAATGACGGGATCTCCATATTATGCACTATATTTAACTTTTAACAGAACGATAATACATTTAAATTTGGAACTGTTACAGCCATTTTAATTATGAGCATTAGCTAACTTCTTACTGAGTGAATGGTTATGCAAATTAGCAATTATCTCAGCTTCCGGTCTGGCCATTGTTTTTGGTTGAACAGTGTTACAACAATCCTACAGACAACTAGCCTGAATGTTAATTTATGCATAAACTGAAGTAGTGAAATTTGAGCTGCTGCCCTGCAAAATTGACAACTGGTAGACAGTTTTCAAGACGGCACTTTCTCCATAGTAAACAGATGTACCCATAAACCAATTGACAGGAAACAGAAGCATGGTTTAGAAGCTAATTTTTTTAAATCACTTTTGACCAAAAAGGCACATTTTTGTGCATATTTCAAATTACAGTGTCCATAAAAAAGATACTAACAAAATTTTAAAATTCATACAATAAGCCTTCCTGAAAATATATAGTTTTGTAGACAAGGGAGGTCATCTTGGTTTCCTAATTAACTAATTAAAATACCTGTCAGGTAAACTGCATCTCTACCTTAAAAAATCAACGCGGTATCAGATGGAGATTTAGATTTCGGAAATATTTCAACTGATGTAAAGATTACTATGACCGTATCTCTCAACCTCTTTCATTCATAAAAGTGTGGGCTGCATGAAAAATATTGACGATAAGGATTTATTATAATTTGGGACGCGTAAACCCCTCCTTCCGACTTCAACGTATGTTATGTCGCGCCCTCAACGCCACACTATTATGCAAGGTTTGTTAATTAATGCGGTTTGTTTGTAAACAATTTCTCACCCTGAAAAACTGGGACAAGGAGGCGAACCTTCGGTCTTTCGCTGTTATCATACGAATTTTACCATCTCTGTCTTTCTTGTAATACGCTTTAGCGCCCTGTGACCCATAACCCTCTTCGCAAACAATATTATCCATAAAAACAACAAACCCACTGAAGGACAGAAACAAAAATACGGGAAGTCTGCACGTATCAGATGCAGAAATCGTCCATTTTAAACACATTAGTCTAGAGAATGCCGGGAAAAATGTATTTCCGGCGGAAGTCAAACATAGATGGCGGCAAATTTCATTTTGCGGTGATTTCTTTAGTTATTCTGTTACGAACAGTGGAATATTTTTATACGATACATGAGGTAAGTTGGTAAAACGCTTATTTTAGTAAAAACTTACAAATGTTTGAACTTTTAGATTAAATGCACAATGTTACTAACCGTGTTCACAGTCATGTATCACCCAGTTACCAGTACAGTGCACCGTGAAATTTGGCTTTGTAAAATTATAAGATCATCTGTTCACCAAGAACGTTTTATTCCGTTAAATTTCTATTGTTGGATACCCTGACAACTTTCAAAACAGGTCTTTGAATAACACTCACGACAATAACAAATATATTTTGTGCAAAGAAAATCAACTCCCTTGCTGTCATAAATGTACACAACAATCAACGTCGGTAATACCTTTTAATTATTATGATGGGTCAGATCAGTTATTTAAATATTACAAAATAAGCTTTATTATACAATAAAAATAAATACATAAGCACCTGAATGTGTTTCCCCATTTAAAAACAGGGGTGGGTTGGAGGAAAGCAAAAAAATTAACTACAATACATGTAAGAGTGTTTTTACTTTCGTTTGATATCGTGTTTGTCCACAGATAACTAATAAACAGACTAGCAACGCTATAAGTTTAGAGGTGTTAATCGGCCTAATCCCTGGTGAACGTGTGTCTCAGCTATAAGTTTAGAGGTGTTAATCGGCCTAATCCCTGGTGAACGTGTGTCTCAGCTATGCTTGTGGCTTACACTTTGCTGGATGGAGAGTACACATATCGAGAATCCTTGGTCTTGCATGTATTTCAGTCATGTATCTTCATAGTAATGTTCTTAAATGTATAATTAAGAAAAAAGAAATTACTTTTACCCCAATTTTTTCTGATACATGTAGTTACTTGATTTTTCTAGCATAGTTCACATCGCCATGTTAATTACAACAAAGCTGGTCGTATGTTATTATATTTTGCACATTATGTATTAAATAGCCTTTGAAAATAGAATACATCAGGGCAAGAAGTGTACCAGTCAACTAAATTGTGGCAAAATTAATTAATATAACGATCTTGAAATAGTACTGACGCGATGTTTCGATTTTGTACATGTGTGTAGCAACGTCGTGCCAAGAGAACGCTTATTACATACTTTCAACTGATTTATTTTCACTGCTATTTAGTTTGACCTGCAACTGAATTTTATACTTTCTGTTTTATTGTTACCCGAACCTGTTTTATGAATGTCTGTGGATACGCGAGAATCACTAACATAAGGAAAATATGAAACTTTGGTCTGACTTTTCTCGTCACTTTGAAACACTGCAGCTTTTTGCGTAGTTGTTTGTTATCACGGGACTTTGTAGACATTTTCTTGTCCCTCCAAGTTGTTTATAAGATTAAAACGTTATCGCAAAAGTAAACGCAAGACACACGTTAGATCAAAAGAAATACCTGTGTTGCCAGTCTTTTTATTAGTTGTCTGAGGTTTGTTCGAAATGTGGTACTACCAGTTTGTTGGCAAGGGAGCCGAGTGTATAATTTTACAAAGGGTGCAAGATATTTACATACACCTAACTCCAACACCTAGTAGGCAATTACCAAGTGACTTTGCCACATTGTCAGAAAATTTTCTAGACACTTCAGTGATCGTTGTAGATGTAATAATTGTTACATACACGCCTACGTGACAGTTAATCAAAACAACAGACAAGGGTTTCAGATGGGTTCAACTATTACACCTTGTAAGCACCTAGTCAAAATTTATCAAACAATGTTTCATTCATTGTTGTTATCATTTAATAAATAAATTTTATTTTGAACAAATTCACCAAAATAATAAACCTTGTTGATACAATTATTTAAAAAACACACACCCCTAACATATAATGGATGCAGTTTCTGTTTTTGAACTCATGTTAATTATTGATATTATTCGAAAGCGTGTAGACGAAGACACTTTGAAAGAGATTATTCACTTCTTCTTAGATAGAAATAGTTTGCAAACGATCGCCAAGGAAGTCGACTAGCAAGGGCAGTAGTTCAAGAGATCAAATATCAACAAACTACCAATCAACAGAATTTCTTGTTAATATTCATTCCCAGTTTTATTTTTAGCAACGATTTTTTACCTACAAAGCAATGTTCCAGAATAGTACAACTACAATGTCTCTCGTAACCACTCTGCAAGGTGTATCGTGTCAGGCATTTTGATATCGGTTTATCAAGTGATCAGGAACGTGTGTGGTGATGTTGCAAAGTCTTTCTGTAATCACCTACTGGGTGCGGGGGTTAGGTGTATGTAAATATATCCTGTGCCTACTATAAGAATAACATTTGTGTCAAATGACTTTATGCGATTAATTATTCATAAGGTCATTAAATTCAGACAAATGAGTAAACTGTAAACACAAACTGTGTGTCAGATGTATTTAAGTAATGCAGTTATGGTGGAAAATGTTGTTATATCGCTGCAGTGTACAGCATTTTATAATATTGAAATACCAGACAGTGAAATGAATGCTTTTACGATAATGTCAACATCACTTAACATAAAACTGTTAATTTTTCAGTGACCTGCTGTGTGTGTCTACAAGATGACTAGTCCAGGTATAGAACGCAGTATTGGTGGTGTCAAAGTTCACTTTCCCTGCCATCCATATCCCAGCCAGTTTTCTATGATGAATAAGGTAGGTTATTAATCAGGTTAATGATTATTCATGTTTCTGGGTGTCGCGCATATCACTTTCAATTATTTCATTTTTTTTTTCAAATTAGGAAAAAAAATAATATTCAGAAAAGATCAGTTCAATATTTCTTCTAAATACCGGTAACACATGCATTGAGTTTTGAAATCAAATTGACCAGACAGTTTTTGACTCCCATGTGCGAAGCACAAAATGGGAGTCTTTGCAGTTAGTGTGTCTGTATGTGTGTATGTGTGTCCGACTGTTCCACTGCTATCTCAAGAACCATACATCGGTTTTTGATGAAACTTGGTGCATAGATGCTCTGGGCCAATGCGCAGATTTGATCAGGTTTTGGTAAAAATCCATGCTCGTTAATTACCTAATTTGCATGATAATTAGCTAATTTTTAGCTGTTCTATGACTGTTCCATTGATATCTAAAGAACCACTCATTGGATTTTGATGAAACTTGGTACATAGATGCTCTGAACATATGCGCAGATTTGATTAATTTTTGGTAAAAATCCGTGCATATTAATTACCTAATTTGCATGATAATTAGCTATTTTTTAGTGGTTCCATGACTGTTCCACTGATATCTAAACAACCACTCATTGGATTTTGATGAAACTTGGTACATAGATGCTCTGAACTAATGCTAGGTTTTGATTAGTTTTTGGTAATAATCCGTGGATACTAATTACCTAATTTGCATAATGATTAGTCAATTTTCGGTTTTTCCACTGATATCTCAAGTACTAATCATCACATTTCATGAAACTTGGTACATAGATGTCATACGACACT